AAAGCACAGAACATTTACTAGTGATTTTTACACAAAGGGTTGTTTCTTTTGAAAGAAGCTTTTCGTTTGTAGCAAATTGTAAATTGATTTCTCAATGAAAAAAAAAGAAAATGGTTTCAAGATAAAGAGCCTTTTTCTTTAGCTAAGAATCATTAATGCATTGTTTTTTTTAGGTTTGTACTTTGAACTCTAAAAACTGTAAACTTTCTTTCTGGTGCACCTAATTAATTTTGCTTGTAAGAAAATCAAAAATCAAGTGCACCAGAAGGATTGTGTTTACACACTTTTCAAATAGATAGATCATTTTGTAAAAACTTTCAGAGTCTTTCCATTGAATGGAGCGAAAAGTTGTCCTCGGTTCTCAACGGCGTTTCGGCGAACAAAATGCTTATCGAAACGTTTCAAGGAAAAGTTCGTGATGAGAAGATTCTTTTTTTGTCAAATATTTTCTTTCTTTTAGAAAATGCTCCAAGTTATTTGTATTTCAAGTTACCGTATTTTCTCTAATAGTAGTGCACTGAGAGCGTTGCCTAAATTGCTCGAAATCTCGAGAACCGCTTATCAGAACCTATCGATGTTGGGTCGGAAAATGGGGATTTGAGTCTTGAGCTTCTGCAAAAGCTTGGAAACCGTAAAATAGTCATGAACTTGGCTGGCTAGGGGTGCACTACTATTAGAGAAAATACGGTACGAGAAATATAAATTCAAAAGATCTACCGTATTCTCTCTAATAGTAGCGAGCGCTGCCTAACCAGGGAGCCTTCTCAAGTTACCCGCGAGTTACCATATGAGGTAGGTGCAAAAAGAAAGGCCTGAAAATGTACGTTCAGAAACCGTTTTCAAAAGCCGCTAATCGGCAAAACGCACAAAGTACCGCAAAGTCGAAGCTTTTCGTCTTGCATTTTTTGCCTGAAAATATTGTTAAATTTGTAAAAATTTATAAAAGTTAAATATAATATGAAAGTATAGAATGTCTAGCTAATATCTATTTGAAAAAATCGCATAAGCAAAGAACTGGAGATTTGCCAACAACGGGAATTCAAAACCGACATTACTTTTTCCTCAACCCTTAGGTTGAGGAAAAACGAGAAGTTGTTGAAATAAACACTAAGACTTTGGAATTTGATTTGACTACTTCATTTTCTCATCAAATTTCTATTTTCCGATTTAAAGGTCTATGTTGTGACAATGATTCGATTCAAAAAGCATTTTTTTTTCCTTTTTTTCCTGATAATATTTGGCTAAAATTTTTGCTTTTACGACAAACTGCAAGACAAACTGTATCTGAGTTGCCATATGTTTGCTTCAAAAATCATTACTTTATTCAAAAATAAGATCAAACACCTAGATTTTGAGCTAAGCTTTTGAATTAAGCAGCCTAAGTGGGCTAACACAAAGCTTTGCGGTTCTAACCTGATAAAGGTCTCTTCCAAATTATTAGGTTGGAAAGAAAGCTCTAGGAAAAAGTTTGACTGGAATTTCTTAAAAACGAATCCACGAATGTTTGGCGCATACTTTATAGTTACTTCAGTGCATTAAACAAAGTGGTATTGGGTTGGAAAGAAAGTTCTAGCAAAAAGTTTGCACAGTGATTTCTCAAAAACCAAGCCATTAATTCTTCCTAGATTTTTTGATAAACTTGACTATATTTCAAAAAGCTTTTGTCAAAAAAAATCAGAGTTGGCGTCAGGTAAAAAATAAGAGATTTCTTCAGCTGAAGTGACTCAATTTTAACAAAATAAATCGAGACTAAAATTTTGCATACCTGTAAAATTGGTATTGATATTTTATTGTTACTGATCAATGTAATGATTGTCTTGATCGATTTTATTGATATTGATCACGGTTATTGATATCGATACCAATGTAATGATTACCGTATTATAAGTCTATTATGGTATAAACTTGAAACTTTTTGTCTGTTTGACAATCAAATCAATCGTTGAAACGAGTGCCTTGTTTCTCTTATATATGTCGTAGCCGCTTACGAAATTCTGCCGCTAACGAATGAAATTTTTCCCTAGCCGCTAATCGTTCGTAAACGGCTAGCCATTAACGAATGATTCGTTAGCGGCTAGCCAATTAAGAATGAAATTTTTTCACTAGATGTGTACGAAATCTTTGTAATCGGCTTCTGCGAACATGGCTAAATTCAAATAAATTTACCATGCTTTTGGTTTCAAATTTTATATGCAAAAAAAAGAAAAAAAATGATTTTGAAGTGAGTTGTTAAAAGTTGTCGAAATGCCCCTTTGCTGAAATGGGGCCCCCGGGAGGACTTCTCCCGATTGTTATCAGAGATTTCGGATTCATTTTCTTTCCGTTTTTTTTTATTATTCTTTGGTTTTATTATACATAATCATTTGTTTGTTTTCAGAATGAATTCATTTCTCAACCAATTTGACGCGTATCAAGTCTTGAAAAAGCGAACGCATAACGACGAAAAAATACAATGAAATTGCGAACAGCTTGACAACAATGTCAAGTGAACGTGAAAGCGAGAAACGGAAGCGAAGAGGCAAATTGGGCACGTCGTTACTCGATTCAATGTATTGAGCAATCAACGATACTCTACAATCATGGAGACAAAGGAACGAACGAGCAACCAAAACGAGTCGTCAAGAAAGAGGAACTCTTCGATGTTTTGACGTCAACTCACAAAAGATTAGGACCGGGCCGGCCCGGATCTGATGTAGAAAGAACTGCGAGAAGATTATCACGGGATCTCAATAAAAAATACTCGAGATTTTTATCAAACTTTGCCAGGAATGTGAATTAAAGAAGGGGACGCCAAAAAAGGAGTTGTTGTGAAGCCAATCATAACGAAAGAGCACGATGACCACGGCCAAGTCGACTTAATTGATCTTTAATCAGTTCCGCATGTATTTTAGTTGATGTTTTGTTTTTTATAAACGTTAATATGTTATACATGTTAATTGTTATAAATTTTATTTCACTTGTTGTGATTAGTTTGCTGATTTGCGTTTTGCATAAATAGTTTGAAATCAAAAACTCATTTGAATCGAGCCATGTTCGCAGAAGCCGATTACAAATTGTACACGGCTAGCGAACAAATTTTATTCGTAATCGGCTAGCCGCTAACGAACGAACGAACGAAGTAGAGGAAGCTTGTAAAAAAATGGTTTCGACGATTTAGAGAAGGAGACAAAACTCTACGGGACCGAGGACGTGGTCACCCCTCCAGCGCTCAACGATGACGATCTTCGAGAAGCCATAGCAGATGGTCCAACCTTGTCAACTCGGGAACTTGGAACTTGGAATTCCCGTGGTCTTATGCACTTTGCGGTTCTACCTTCTGGTCCAACAGTCACCTCAGATCTATATGTACAACAGCTGAAATGATTAGACCAGGCTCTCAAGAATCAAGATGTAAACACATCGACTGTGAGAGATCTGCAAGATAACGCGCGCCGACACACAGCAAAGAAGACGCAGGAAAAACACGAGCAAGGGAATGCCTCCCGCATCCGCCGTATATTTCAAATCTGGCACCCTCAGACTACCACTTATTTCGATTTATGAAGCAATTCCTGTCCGATAAACACTTCAAGGACCAAGACGAAGTCCGAATTTCGGTAGGCCAATGGTAAAGGTAATGGATTCCATTCAAACCCAAAATAAAGTATTTAAAACAGGGAAAATTTGTGATTAAGGCCAATTTGATCAAATGCTTTCACTTTTCAGAATCATCTGTAACACTCGGTGCCAAGAACGTGATACCCAAATTATTTTTTGAAAAAGCTTCTCTGTCAAAAAAATTTTGGCTAAAAATAGAGATTATTAATTAAAATTTTAAGGGAAACCTGCACTCATTTTTTACGAGTAATTTCTTGGAGTCCACTTGTAAATATTAGGTCGGTGCACTTGTTTGTTTATTTTCCGGACATAATTAAAGTTTTTATTGAATATGTTTATCTATCTGAAAGAGCGTCTTGTTGCGCGTCTTTTTATATATGACTCATGCGTGTTTAATTAATTTGAAGTAATTTTTAGCTTCTAGAAAATGGTTGACCAAAAATTTCGAGTGCGGATTTGCTTATTGGATGTTTTTTAAACAAGGCAGAAAGGCTGCGGAATCTCATCGTGCTCTCTGCAAAGCATTCGGCGATGACGTGTTGTCCGAACGTCAATGCCGGACTTGGTTTCAGCGCTTCTGAGACAGTGATGAAAGTTTGGAAGACGAAAAACGCGGGAATCCGCCTCAAATTGTCGACATGGACGAGTTGAAGAACGCTATCAAATCGGATCCATGCCAAACAACTCGGGAGCTTGCAGAGCCGTTTGACTACGACCATGCAACCATCCTCCGCCATTTGCACGCAATTGGTAAGACGAATCGGTGTGGAAAATGGGTGCTATATCAGCTCAGCGACGCAAACAAGGCGGCTCGAGTTACAATCGCTGGAATTCTCGTCCGCCGCGCAAAGACCGCCGGTTTTCTCGACTCTATTGTTAAGTCAGATGAAAAGTGGATATGTTACGAAAACATAACGAGAAAACGGCAGTGGTTGGAGGCCGGTGAACCGCCAAAACCGAATATCCACGGAAAAAAGGTGATGCTTTGTATTTGGTGGAACAGTAAAAGTCTCGTGTATTTTGAGGTGCTGGATTTGGGCCAAAAAGTCACGGCGGATCTCAACAAAGCCCAATTGAGCCGCGTGGACCAGGCGTTGCGTCGTCAAACACGGCAACTACAAAATTCCTCCACGATAATGCTCGACCCCACACCGCGAAGATCACTCAGCAGAAAATCGAAGAATTGAGCTGGGAAGTTCTGCTTCATCCGCTATATAGCCCAGACTTGGCCCCATCCGACTACCACTTGGTTCGGTCGATGCAGCACCCTTTAGCATAAAAAAATTCAAAAACCGCGAAGAAGTTGAAATCTGGGTGTCCAATTTCTTCGAGTCGCACTGTTCAAGTTTTTCGAAAAGGGCATCCATTTTCTGCGTGGAAGATGGCTAATGTCTTTTGAATTAAGGTTCTGTACTATGGTTTTTATAACAAATTTTGTTTATGGTTCTAACGGAAGTTTCATCCGCACCAACACAATAATAGAACAAAATGTTCTTGAATTCGTGGATTCGTTTTCTGGAAATACCAGTCAAACCTTTCCAAGAACTTTCTTTCAAACCTAATAGATACTTAAAACCACCAAAAATTACTCATTTGACTTATTTGAACTATGGAAATAACCAGGCATGAAGTCAAAGTAGAAAAACAAAGATTTTCATTTCTCGTTTTGGGCTTTTGCTGATTTTTTGGAGACATTTTTGAAGTTTTAAAGGAAGCCGAGTGGAATTAATGAAATCAAATTGAGAAAACTATTTTAAAGATGTGAATGTAATCAACTATTGTTCAATTTGAAAATATCAACTCCATGAAAAATCATTTAAAAATTTAGGAACTTTGTTTTAAGGCCGCATTTCCTTTTTTCTGCTTTCTTGCGTTACTTGGAATCTTTTTCATGTATACCTTTATTAAAAAGATATCAAGCCGTTAAATGCACAACACAAACATCTCCACATCCAAATGCACATGGCCGACTCCACGTCTTTACCTCAGAAATCATCCAATCACCAGATGCTCCATAGAGATAAGTGCACGTTTTGTGATTTGCTCCCTTTCGAAAAACAGTCAAAATGTCGATACGTCCTTCCCATTTCTCGCCATAAGCCGCTGCACGCTCTGCTAGCGACTGGATCCCGTCGTCTCGTTCTTGCCATTTCCAAATGCCTTGAAAGTAATCACTAAAATAAAACATTGTCTCAATTCTGACTCTGACTAGTGATTGACAGCTCAAGTTTTAAGGCAAAGAAATGTAAAGAAGTTTGGTACTTTGATGGTTGGGGGCCAACTATATTTTTGATTTTCCAATTTTCCAGGGGTAATCGAGGGCACTGAGCACGAATTTGGCATTTTTAGCCTAAGACAATAAACGAATAAGCATAAATTTTTAGCATTTCAACTGAAAAACCAACATTTCGACACGTTGAAAATTAGGCTTCTAGGCGCTATTCAGGTTGGGAAGGGGGGCACTTTTTTTCTTCAAAACCACTTCTTCTCGGGTAGCTTTATGCGTAGATTCCGAAAAACCCAACGAGAGCTTGGGAAAATGAGTAAGTTGGATACCAAGCTGACTGAGTAAATGCTTATAAAAATTAGAAAACGGAACGCATCAACAGATGTTCTTCGCTACTGTGTTCCTCTTGAATACAGCCTTTGAATAAGCCAAAGATTGGTTAAGTTTGAGACCAGCTCCCAGCAAATCCACCATTACTTATTAACTAGCCTAATAAGCCTCGCCTGACCTGATTCCTTCTTTCGCATCAGGCTTTGATCTGTTTGGAAGGCCACCACGAAACACAAATATCACATAGTTCGCAAATTCCAGCACAGAGTTATCGTCTCCAAAGCCAACGAAAGCCGTTCTCATGTAGTAGTTGTCCTCTGAGAAAGCCTTTCCTTCCCGATAAGCATTCACATAGTTTGCCGGTAAAACGGCGACTTGCTTTCTGATTCTGAAAGGCACAGAAAACATTGTAAATCAAAGTTTGTTTCAGAAACATTGGGCGGTTCCTTTCCATTATACATCCAGAAAAATAGCCTCTGATTATCAATTAATGAGGAATCCATGCCTTAGCAATTTGTTGCAAGACCCATTCGTGGAAATGGTCCTTTCCCACTTCTTGTCGAACCATCAATTCAGCGAGGCAGTTCGGTAGGAAATGACGTGCCGCGATGCTTCTTGTTTCTCCATTTTCCCCCTAGACGCTCGATCGTCTGCGTGTCAATGGCAGCGTCGTCCGGATTCCGGAAGTTGTACTTGTTGTACTTGTTGACATGAGCATGGGTAAAGCCGGCCTCCTTCATCTGTTCAGTATCCAGGCCGATTTGGTGGGTTTTTCTGTGGTCTTCCTTATTCATTTTCATGGAAGGATGCAAATTTGGCGGATGTATAAGGGAAATGATCAAGGGTTTATTTTTGAGGATGTATAACGGAAAAGAACTCTTTTGCTTTGATCGTGAGCTAAAACATACATATCGGTATTAACCAAAAGTTTATAGATTTCCGAAGCCATTCTCTGCATTTTCTCTTGTTGTTTATACTGGGTGCTGCCCCATGTCCAATCCTTTTGATCTTCTTTAACTCCGTGATTCTCGGCCATCCAATTTCGAATCCTTTCCTCTTCTTCGGGCTTTTGGATCCAATTTGTCTAAAAGCTTGCTGTCTCGGGAAGATTTTCTAATGCCTGGCTACCTTTAACACAAACTAAACTTTTAACTTAGCCTACTTGCAAAGCAACTTGCCCGTGCACTCGTGTAGCATCCAACAGTGACAATGACTTCACCTTTGTACAACCATTGATGCTTCGATCCACAAGTGATAGTTTTTGTGTCTGACGGTGAATCCATTTTGTCATTTATCTGAACCACACTTTTTGAGGATAAACTGAAAAAGGAAACGCCCACTCGAACAAACGCGAAATCGTCTGCATCAGCGGTGCACGTGAACTTCCGATAGGGCCAATAATATTGACTATAGTTGAGAGATGAACATAACATGAGAAGGGTTTTCTCTAGCGACCAAAAAGCCCTGAGGCAAGGACCGGATTATGGCTCGGAGCAAGCCTTAATCGGGTCCAAGCTCATTAAGGCTTTCACCGTGCCGGCCCCCGAAAATCTTTCACAAAACAATGCTTACTAAGACGTCACATCGCTCGAAAAGTTTTTCCAGTTGCCATCAGCCGAATGTATGACAATTTTTTCGCTCTGGCTCTTGCACTCGTCAATCCATTCTAAAAAAAGAGCCAGTAGATGAGTTGGGTAACAAAAAAGAGAACAAATTAATCGATCGAAACAAACGGACCTTGATTTGGTGTCACAATTTGTGCCAGCGAAGCCATAAACAAGAAAACCAATTCTTTATTCATTTACAGCCAACTGAAAAGCAAATCTTATAAAATGTCAATTGTAAAAAAAGAAAGTTTAGTTTAAAAAAACGAGAAGTTGTTCAAATCAATACTAAGACTTTGGAATTTCATTTGACTACTTCATTTTCTTATCGAATTTTTATGTTTTTATTGAAAGGTCTATGTTGTGACAATGATTCGATTCAAGAAACATTTTTTTGATAGAATCATAGATTTTTTCCTTTTTTTCCTGATAATATTTGGCTCAAGATAATTTAATGGAAAAACGAGAGTTGAAATTTGGAATTTAAAGGTCTATGTGGTGTCTGGAAAATGATTGAATTCAAAAAGAATTTTTTTGAATTCAATCATTTTTCTTTTTTACATTTTTTCTTTTTCCCATTCAATAAATCGCCGAAAATAAGTTAATCGAAAAAAGAGAAGACAAATTTCAGCGCTTTTACAATCAAATGCAGTATTTGAGTAGCCATATTTTTGCATTTATATATGAATACTTTATTCAGAAATAAAGTGCCGAAATGAAGATTTACACTAATTCATGAAAAATAGAAAATACCACTATGAGGTATTCATTTGCCTCAAGGTTTAGTAATAACTACGATGATGAACAGGAAATAAGGTAAGTTTTTAATTGTTGACACAATAGTTTTCAAACTATTTTGCTTGGTGATAAGAACGAAAATTGGTCCGAAAATATCGTGATCAAAACCGGAATTACCGTCCGAGAATTTTGGTTTGTTTTGTTTATTCTTTATTTAGTCTACTGTATTTCTTGGACTAGAATACTGGCCTCGAATAAAAGAGAACAAAAGAGCGCTAGAATAGAAGACGAGATCTAGAGGGTGATCGAAAAAAGAGAAGGCCGGCTTCAATATAACACCGATCTTTCATTCGAGGTATCATTTCTTCTCTATTTTTCGCTAAAATTATTGTATCCGAAATAAGAAAAGTCAGCCCGAAAATGTAGCTTTTTCCGGGGTTTTTCAGATTCTATTGCGTTACTAATTTTTCTTTCTTAGGTAATGTCGAATTCAACAAGCTCTAAGAGCAAAAGTCAAGCGAAAGACCTACTCATTTTCGTTCAAACTCGAAGCTGTTCGTTTTTCACAGGAGAAACTAAAGGAAGCGGCTGATCGATGGTTTAATGTTACCCTTAAGATGGTTCAATATTCGCCAAAATCAAGGTTCAATTGATTCTTAAATGTTATTTTTTTCCTCAGTTTTTACATTTTTAAGTTTTAAAGGAATCTAAATGGGATTAATGAAACCAAATCGAGAAAACCATTTTAAAGATGTGAATGTAATCAACTATTGTTCAATTTTAGAATGTCAATTCCATGAAAAATCATTTAAAAACCTAGGAACTTTGTTTTAAGGCCGCATCTCTTTTTTCTGCTTTCTTGCGTTACTTGGAATCTTTTTCATGTATTCCTTTATTCAAACAATATCAAGCCGTTAAATGCACAACACAAACATCTCCACATCCAGCTGCACATGGCCGACTCCACGTCTTCACCTCAGAAATCATCCAATCACCAGATGCTCCATAGAGATAAGTGCACGTTTTGTGGTTTGCTCCTTTTCGAAAAACAGTCACAATGTCGATACGTCCTTCCCATTTATAAGCATAAGTCGCTGCACGCTCTGCTAGCGATTGGATCCCATCGTGTCGTTCTATCCCTTTGAGACCATCTTGAAAGTAACGACTAAAATAAAGTATTGTCTCAATTCTGACTCTGACCAGCGATTGACAGCTCCAGTTTTAAGGCAAAGAAATGTAAAGAAGTTTTTCAAACCATTGTAAACAGGATTGAAAAGCCAGGCCGATCCCGGCCTGATTCTAACGTGCTTTTGTTATTATTTTTAAGCCAAAATTACATTTTTTATTTATAACTATTCATAACCGTTTTCTAGGAACTGTTCAAGAACACCTTGAATTCAATTTTCAAAAAGGTTTTGGGTTTGCGGCCCCACTAACAAACCCATGATAGATATTAGGCTGGCTAATAAGTAATGGTGGATTTGCTGGAAGCTGATCTCAAACTTAACCAATTTTTGGTCTCATTCAAAAGCTTTATTCAAGAGGAAGACGGTAGCGAAGACCATTTGTTGATTCAGAAATTGAATACAGCATCGGATTCCCCGCGTCCGATTGGCGTTTGCATTTCAACGGGGTCAATATCTGCTACGGCCATTTGGTGGCATCTCCTTGCTAGGTCTTTTTCCAAAAAAAGTTCAAATTTGGTCACAGTTGGGAGTCGAACCCTCGACCCTCGGATCAACGAACCGCCAAGCCCCAGCTATTTAAGTTTAAAGATCCTGAAATGTGATTTTGACACTTTTTGGGTACCAAGCTGACTGAGTACCATTCAAATGCTTATAAAAATTGAAAACGGAACGAATCAACAAATGGTCTTCGTTACTGTGTTCCTCTTGAATACAGCTTTCGAATAAGACCAAACTCGCTAAGATCGGTTTATTTTGAGGCCAGCTCCCAGCAAATCCACCATTACTTATTAGCCAGCCTAATAAATACTCGTCTGACCTGATTGCTTCTTTTCCATCAGGCTTTGATCGGTCCGGAAAGCCACCACGAAACACAAATATCACATAATTCGCAAATTTCAGCACAGAGTTATTGTCTCCAAAGCCAACGAAACCCGTTCTCATGTAGTAGTTGTCCTCTGAGGAAACCTTTCCTTCCCAAATAGCATTCACATAGTCTGCCGGTAGAACGGCGACTTGCTTTCTGATTCTGAAAATCACAGAAAACATTGTAAATCAAAGTTTGTTTCAGAAACATTGGGCGGTTCCTTTCCATTATACATCCAGAAAAATAACCCTTGATTATTTGATGATCAAAAATCGATTAATTTGATCAAAATCTCTTATATATAAAAGAGAAGTGTCCGTCACACTCTGGATGTCGGCGCTCGGTGAACCGATTTCGACAAACTTTTTTTTGAATCGATAGGGAATTAAGAATGAATAGGTACATCCTTTTGATCAAAAACAAGTTTCTCATCAAAAACCCGTTAAAAAATCAGAAAAACCACATAGCCACGTGCCTTTTTGCCTCGGCGGTCTATGGGAGGGAGGGCGTGGCCGAGGTGGTTAGTGCCTCGTCTACAAAACGACTGCCCTAAGGGGGTGTCGGGTTCGATTCCCGTCCGTTCAAAACTTTTTGTTTTACATCTTTTCAAACATGGAGTTGAAGTATGCAAATTTTAGTCGCCTCACAGCGAACAGGGGTCTCGAAGGGGCAAAACGGCCGTCCAAATAAGTAGGTAAGGGGGGAAAAAAACATGGATCAAAAATTTAGAATTTTTTCCAAAACTATGCTAATTGATAGGGCTTGGCTCAAAACGTACAAAAAAGTCTTTTCAGATCAAAGTTTTTTATTTTTCAAAACTCTGTTGATGCTTCTTCCAAAAAATCCATGTGGTCCCCCCTCTGAGTTTTTCTCTAAAAAACTTTTGTCTTTTAGAAAACCATGTTTTTGATTTTACTATCGATGATATATTTGGAAGTTTTAGGTCTAGATCGCTCCCTAGAGGGGTCACAATCGGGGTCTGAAGTCAGGATTTCGAATAATTTTGAGGAATCTAGATTGTTGCTTTTATTGGAGGTTGTGCTTTTATTAGAATAAATACGGTGCTTTGCATACTTCAACTCCATGCTTGATAACAAAAGTAAAAAGGTTGGAACGGACGGGAATCGAACCCGACACCCCCGTAGAGGAGTCGTTTTGTAGATAGAACGCTAAAGCTAATCACCTAGGCCATGCCTTCCCAGTATAGGTGCTTTGAAGGGTTGGTCGCGATATTGCTTTTAAGGGCTAAGAGATAGATCCTAGTATTGTTACAGTTTCGGAGGGGGCGCAGAAAAGAAGGGGAGGGTGTCATCTAACTCGAGAGATTTAATTATACGTTAGCTTCAAAAGACCCAGCCAGAAATTTCGGATTCAGGAAGTTGTACTTGTGGTTGACCTTGGGTATAGCCGGCCTCTCCCATCTGCTCCGTATTGTATCCTCGCAAACAATCGGAGTAAATTTGGGTTGCCGGCTTGATGTGCTGAATCATCGCTTCCAATGGGGTCACCTCAACCAGAGAACATTTCTTAGTTTCCCGCAAACTCCTCTAAATATCCACACTTGCGGCCAGATTCGGCCCACATTTCGAGAAGAAAGCCTCGTTCACTTCGTCAATTCGATTGGCTTCTCCAATTTTTCCTCTCAGCTTGTTTACCAGATATTCCAGGCAAAGAATCCTAGTTGTAGAAGTCGACCGCGGTGATTCATCTCCAATTCTTGGCACAATAGTTGATCGAGGTTCACTGTTGAGTCCATTCATAATCATAGGATTGTGAGAAACGGGATTTTGGTTCTCTCCATCCATGAGCCAACACGCAGGTCGATCGCTGTCCAGTAGGACGTTTTGTCGCATCTGCATTGGAGATTCTGATTGAGCAATAGCTTCACAACGTGATGGTTGGCGCATGTGCGAGTAATAATCAAGATGCGTTGTTGAAAGAACGAGATTGCATCGGCCTCGGTAGTCGGTAAGTGAATCATGAATCCACCGTGCCCTTAGAAAACAGCGAAAAAGAATTTTCTGTGGTTTTTCTTGTTCATGTTCATGGAAAGATGCAAATTTGGCAGATGTATAACGGAAATGATCGAGGGTTTGTTTTTGAGGATGTATTACAAGAACCCTTTTCGCGTTGATAAGGAGCTAAGGTAAAACTTACATATTATGGGTGTTAAGCAAAAGTTTATAGATTTCCGAAGCCATTCTCTGCATTTTCTCTTGTTGTTTATACTGGCTGCTGCCCCATGTCCAATCCTTTTGATCCTCTTTGACTCCGTGATGCTCGGCCATCCAATTTTGAATCCTTTCCTCTTCTTCGGGCTTTTGGATCCAATCTGCCTAAAAGCTTCCTGTCTCTGCTGCCTCTCGTGGATATGGTAACAACTTTTTTTCGCAATACCTTCAACTAAACGTAAAAACTCACCCGTGTGCCTGTGTAGCATCCAACAGAGACAACGACTTCACCTTTGCACAACCATTTACGCTCCGATCCACAAGTGATAGTTTTTGTGTCTGACGGTGAATCCATCTGGTCGTTTATCTGAAACACATTTCAGAGGATAGACTGAAAGAGAAACTCCCACTCGAACAAGCGCGAAATGGTCTGGATCAGCAGTGCACGTGAACTTTCGATCGAGCCAAAAAAAATATTGGCTGTAAATGAAAGATGAAGATAGAATGAGAAGGGTTGTCCCTAGCGGCCTTGAGCCAAGGGCCGGCCATAGGGGGCAGGCCTTGATCGAGTCCAAAGCTGATTAAGGCTTTTACCGGGCCGAGCCCGAGAAAGTTTTCACGAAAACGCTTACTGAGACGTCACATCACTCGAAAAGTTTTTCCAGTTGCCACCAGCCGAATGAATGTGAATGTTTTCACTCTGGCTGTTGCAATCTTCAATCCATTCTAAAAAAATAGTCAGTAGAAGAATTGGGTAACAAAAAAAGAACAAAGTAATCGATCGAAACAAACGAACCTTCATCTGCTGTCACAATTTGTGCCAGTGAAGCCACAAAGAAGGAAATTATTTCTTTCTTCATTTACAAGTAACTGAAAAGCAAATTTTATAATATGTGAATTGTAACAAAGAAAGTTTAGTATAAAAACGAGAAGTTGTTCAAATCAATACTAAGACTTTGGAATTTCATTTGACTACTTCATTTTCTTATCGAATTTTTATGTTTTATTTAAGGTCTATGTTATGACAATGATTCGATTAAAGAAGAATTTTTTTGATAGAATCATACATTTTTTCCTAATAATATGTGGCTCGAAATAAGTTAATGGAAAAAAAGAAAAATTTTAGCGCTTTCACGATAAACTGTAGTACGAGTGCCGTATCCGAGTAGCCATATTTTTTTTATATGTTGCAGCCGCTGGGATTTTCAGCCGCTAGTGATTCAATCATCATCGACTCGCCACTAGTGATTGAAAGTTTTTTAACGAAACATTTGCAATGCAATGCAGATTTATCTCACATGCAAGTAAAAAAGTTAGGTTAATCGAACCAAATATTTTAGCACCTCAAGCGGTAACTTCTGTTGCCAAATTCGAAAGGTTATGTCATCTAACTGAAAGTAAATTTTGCTTAATTTTTTTGCTATATGAATTACAGGTTTTATTCACTTTTCAACAATTCATTGCAAACAAATAATAAACAAACAAGCTTAACAACAAAAAAATTAATTAACAACTTCCCTAAGGTAGATCGTGACATCGACTGTTGCACAAAACGTTCGACTTATGGCATACATTTACGCATCCAAATCCCCATCTGGTACTGATTGCAAATCGATCAGATCCACTTGGGCCCGCTCGTTTTGTTGTTTGGTGATAATTGGCTTGACAACGACTCCTTTTTCGGCGTGCCTTTCTTCAATTCACATTCAGGACAGAGTTTGACAAAATTCTCGATGATATCCTTAGATATTCCATGATATTCCCTTAGTGCTTTCCACATTATGTCCCTTCCAGCGTGTCCATGATCCTTGTGTGTTTTGATCAATAGTTCAGAGAGATTTTCCTTGATAATCACTCGTTTCATTTCTCCGGTTCTTCCAATGTTGTAGATGATTTTCAGATCGTTCTCCTTTTGCAAAGTAAAGCGCGCCAACAAATTTATTTCTTGAGGAGTCCTTTTTCCTTTTGTATCTTCACTGGTTCTTCGTTTGATCCTTTTCAAAATTTCGGCGTGTTTGGTGACATCGGGAATCCACTTGTAAGGGAATCCAATCCAATCTCAAAAAGACACACAAATACCCTCGATTTCATTCAATTTCACATCAATTCAACACATATGATCTAGTGCTATTTGGCTAGAAGATATCTATTGGGTTGATGGAAAAGTCCTTTCCGATTTTTTGGGAGAGTACCGTAAATTTGTCCAATTTTGACGTTTTATAGCTCATCCTAAAGCTGAATTCAAGACGGATCGATTGGTAAAAACCGTTTTGAGATATATCTTGTCTAAAAGTTTTTACAGCTATTTTAGTCAAGGGCGGCAGAGCCAAAAAATGGCTGTTTTCACGTTTCGTTAGTTTTCCGTGCAGAACCCTAGGCTAAAAACATGTGTTTCGTGATCAGCGTCAAAAATAACCCCTAGACACAAATTTTCAGAAGCATAGCAAAAAATTTTTGACAAATATTGTCACCGGTGGAAGTCGAACCAGCGACCCTCAGACCAATAGCAAAGAATATCCCGAAAGATGCGAAAAGTGGATAAATTGGAAAAATTGGAGATTAGATTACGGCAAAAAGGAGTCACCATTTAGAAAACGGATTCAAAAAGAGAAAACACATTTTAATGACTATTGGTTTGAGAGTTTTGCTGGACACTAAAGGATTTTTATAGTAACAATATTAAGCTATAGCTCATATTGAAACTTTAGCCTTTTTTCTCCTTTGTTTTCATAAGAAATTCACCACAAGCCCCAAAGTAACTTGTTTCAAGGAATCCAAATCATTTTCAAAATCCTAACAATAGAAAGATCCCAAAGTTCGACCCACCTCAATGAATTTCCTCTCGTGCTCCAAATGTGCCTGATTTTCGATGAAATTCTTGAGATCGGTGTTTTGAAACGAAAGCTCGTTGATATCTCTAAACTTCTTTTAGTCATTCAATTTCCCAAATTTACCAAACTTGAAATTTGTCTCCATCGTTTTCTGGAGCAAATGGATCGATCGCCCGAGATATGGGCCCAACTCGTTGTCGTTGAAATATTGCGCTGAAACAAAGTGCTTAATAAAGTTTAATCTCATAACCGTTTAATCTCTTTTGGCTTATAATAATGACGATTATTTTTTTGTGTTAACTCAAGCTTTTCAGGATTTTCTTATTCATTTCGCAGTAAGTTTTCAAGGTTATTATTTTCAAGATATTTTGTCTAACTGTTGATATATTAGCGATTTTAGATTGAATATTTCAATGTTTTTAAGGTCAAACCAATTTCTGACTAAATGAATCAAGTTTATTGCCCTGTTTTTCAAATTATTTCGTCCTTGTTCAATTGTTTTTGTTTTTTTTGTTCTTGTTTTAAATTCTCGTTGTAAGTTCTTGTTCTAATTGTTCTAAATTATTCACTTGCTTGGCAAATGCTTTGGCACCTTAGAAGAACAATGTTTCAACTTTGGGAAACTGAAGCCAAGCCATTTCACAGCAATTCTTGGTGTGTGTGTGTTGTGTTTAAACCAATAGATTTTTCAAAACTAAAGTGCTTAACACATTTACGACGATCTGGCCCACATACTAATGACGATTATTTTTTTCGTGTTAACTCAAGCTTTTCAAGATTTTCTTATTCATTTCGCAGAAAGTTTTTGGTAACTTCTCGTACTAGTTTTCAAGAGAAGATTCAAAGCTATTGAATGAGTATAAAAGTTTAGTTTATCTTTGAATATTCACTAAATTATCCGGTAAAAGTGTTAGCGACTACGCGACTGTACGCCCACAAATGTCGCGAATGTGTTAAAAACACTTTTTTCTAGTATGTTTCAACTTCGCAAAGCTTAGACCATTCCATTTTTCACCAATCAACCCCGACAAAGTCATTAACTTCTTTCAAAACTGATGAATTTTTAAATAAGCAGCTATGTAGCATTTTAAATTGATTTTTTTAAGAAAGTAATTCACAAAGCACAAAAGTTTTTTTGACTTTTCCCAACAATTCCCCATCAACTCACTCGCCAAGTGTTCGGTCAATTTCTTCTCGAAAAGTCTCTCCATTTCAGTCATCAGCTCCAAATTCTCTGCTGTGCTCGTTTCTTTCCAGAAATTTGTCTGTAAAGTTGTTATTTAAAAATTTGTTAGTTTTTCTACCAAGCTGAATTCGGATCTGCTTTGAGAAACATCGAATTGAGATTCGAACTGAAAAATTCATCATAAATTAGTTACAAATTTTCATTCATAAAAGTAGTGAAGTTGATTGAAACTCATTTTTGAAAAGCTTTTAAATTTAAAGCATTTAATTTTTATTTACTTTTAACAAGGGGCTTTAAAATTTCTAGTATATTCTGTACCATTTGAAACGGCTTTAAAATTCATACTTAACAACTTTACGAGCCATTTTTTGAAATGAACTTTACTGCTAAAAGTCTTTTAGATCTTTTGGCTCTTTCGGATCTTTTTCAAATCTTAAAAAACCTGTGTTCGAAGCTTTTGCAGCACTCCCGGCTCTTTGTCGTACTTGGCTTCGATGTTTTGCATCGTTGTATCGAAACAGACATCAAATGTCTACACTTTCAATGATTGACTTGAGAATTAGGTAATAATAAATTTGGATTCTATATTCATAAATCTCAAATTTTTGACTCAAAAGCTCGGAAGATTGTATCAAGAAATGTGACTTTGTAAAGATTCTTCCGAAAATCGTCGGTGGTCGCTTTCGAGAAGTTCATCTCGTTTCCCAGCAGGTCAAGACCGGCCATCACCTTGAAAGAATGAAAATAAGAATGGGATACTGTAAAATATAAGATATTATTTAGTATTAGAATAAAATTATCGGATACTGTAAAATAGGATAATCGGCTGTTCGGTTTAAACAGTCAAGTTCGAGTTTTCAAAATTCAAAATTGAGATTTCAAGTTTGGGTATGTTCAAACAAAGCGTTTACTCAATCATTTTGATGATTTCTTTTTTCGTTTACTATTTGAAAAATTTGAAAATTTGTTTATTTTAGTCTACCGTATTTCTTCGAATGAAGACCGAAGACTATTAAGAAAGAAATAGAAGACTATTAAAAAAGAATAAAAGAGCGCTTAGGCAGCGCTCACTACTATTAGAGAGAATACGGTAGATCTTTTGATTTTGTATTTCTAGTACCGTTAGTACCGTATTTTCTCTAATAGTAGTGCATCCCAGCGAGCCGAGTTGATGCCTATTTTACGGTTTCCAATTTTTCCTAGAAGCTCAACACTCTAATCCTCCACTAGATCTCATCGTCAGCTACATTTTCCGACCCCACATCGATAGGTTCTGATAAGCGGTTCTTGAGATTTCGAGTAATTTAGGCAGCGCTCTGGGTGCACCATCTTTTTTACTTTGCCCGAAAAACGTTTGTATTGAAGAAAGTGTCAAAATTACGACTTTGGCTGGAGTTTTGGGTGCTACCACATTTTCCACAAATCCACAAAAACCACTACCGTATTTCCCCTACCACCGAGCCGAGTTGGTGAAGATTTTACGACTTTCAAAGTTTTCAGAGAAGCTCAACACTCGAATCCCCCACTAGATCACATCGTCAGCTACATTTTCCGCCCCCACATCGATAGGTTCTGATAAGCAGTTCTCGAGATTTCGAGCAATTTAGACGATGATCAAGGTGCACTACTATTAGAGAAAATATGGTAACTTGAAAAATTTTCTAAAAGAAAGAAAATATTTGACAAAAAAACAATCTTCTCATCACTAACTTTTCCTTGAAACGCTTCGATAAGCATTTTGTTCGCCGAAACGCCGTTGAGAACCGAGGTCAACTTTTCGCTCCATTCAATGGAAAGACTCTGTAAGTTTTGACAAAATGATCTATCGATTTGAAAAGTGTGAAAAAACACAACCCTTCTGGTGCACTTGATTTTCCATTTTTCTTACAAGGAGAATGAATTGAGTGCACCAAAAAGAAAGTACAGTTTTAGAGTTCAAAGTAAACACCTAAAAAACAATGCATTAGTGATTTTTAGCTAAAGAAAAAGCTCTTTATTTTGAAACCATTTTCATTTTTTTCATTGAGAGATCAATTTACAATTTGCTACAAACGAAAAGCTTCTTTCAAAAGAAACAACTCTTTGTGTAAAGATCACTAGTAAGTTTTCTGTGCTTTGCAAACACAACCTTTCTGGCGCATCGATTTCTTCACGATTCATTTCGCAAGGAATTAGAAGAATTAAGTACACCAAAAAGTGTGTGTTGACCAATTTTTCAGCACAAAGCACACAAACTATAGCTGACCTCAAATTTCGATGTAATAGCCCTTCCCAAATCGATAATCAGACTATCATGCGAGGTCCCGTCACCCAAAATTTCAATTCTGAATTGGAAAAATCATTTTTCTACCCAGAAATATTGTTCGCCAATTGAATCGTCAACCGGCCATTTTGGTAGAGAGCTTCGGCGAGTTTTCTGGAAAATTTTCTTTCAATTCCAGAGTGTTTCATTAAATACCTTTGATTTTGTTATAATTTTATTAGAAAAATTGGCTTTTTCGTAGTTTTTGGGTATTTTGAACGGGTCGTCACGCTTTGAAAGCCTATAACTTTGTCCAGAGACAATATTTTTACTAACTTTTACATTATTGTACAGAGAACATTTCAAGCTTTCAAATGATACAAAATAGAGCTTGATGGGATAATTGAGTCGGCGAAAATCAGAGCCAACTCCGAAAATGAGCCCTATCCAACTCCAGTGTCGTGTCGCCTTGTCTGCATAGGAATGAAAAATCCAATCTGGCTCTATTTTGTATTATTTGAAAGCTTGAGATGTCCTCTGTACAATGATATAAAAAGTTAGTAAAAATATTGTCTCTGGACAAAGTTATGGGCCTTCAAAGTGTGACGATCCATTCAAAATACCCAAAAACTACGAAAGAGCCTAAAAGTTTTTCTCCGATTTCTAACCGGTTCGCGTCTTTCGCAAAAGAGACAGGCAATTTTTCAATGGTTCCATTTTGAAGCATACTGCCAATGCTTGATCTGAAATTTCTCATTTCTGAAAGATCTGATGAAAAATCAAAGCTTATTTTCAAACCCAAGTTTCAAGTTTGCTAAAATGAAAATGGAGTTCTAGAATTCTATGGTTTTTTTTCCAAAAACTTACGTAAGCTTTTGTTTCAAAACCGAATCCAACGTGCGTTTCATTAGCCAATTATTCCGTAATCCGGTGAGTGTCGCGTTCAAATCCTCCCTGGAAAATCGGTGCTTAGATAGTGCGCCAGAAAAAAGTGTGTTTACATTTTCTCAAGCAGAAAGTACACCGCGCCCACCTCAAATCCTGATTCAATCGATTCAGCTTCGGATTTGTGCGAATCGCTGGCTCGGCAAGTTGTGAAGCAATCTAGAATTGAAAAACTAATACTTGTAGATTTTTTCTAATAAGTATACTAATTTTTTTGAAACCTGTATCTTTTTCTCGGCTGACACATTTTTCGAGAGCATCACCCCGACTGTGGTTTGAGCCTGAATTTGAGCAAATGAAAGCAAAAATTCTAAGAAAATTTGATACTTATCGGTTATATCCAAAAAAAAAATTGCATTTTTAAAAAAACTCATCAAATCCTTCTGCAAAAAATCGGTTATATCCTCACAAAATTTGTGTTTCCACTTGATTTGCATTTGTTTTTGAATCAAAAAAACCCCAAGCAAAGAAGAAAAAAGAATTTCCTATAACCCATCATGACTTTGTCGCTCTTTTTGCTCACTTTTAATGAAAAAGGTATCATCGATTTCTTTCTCACAAAGCGAAAGCTTTACCTTAATCGAAATGCTGTCAAAATGGACATTCGATCTGTCACGGCAACACCAAATGCTTTAGCGTTTAGCACCAAGTTTAGCAAAATCTTTCGGTCACCAAACCTTTTTTGGAACTTCGAGTTTTGCTAAATTTAGCAAACTTCCATTTTGCAAAATTCAAGGCGTCCACTAAAGCATTTAGCAAGTTTTGATTTAGCAGACGATGACGATGCTAGCTAAATGCTAAACGATCTTTGCTAAACGATGACGATGCTAAACGATGACGATGCTAAACGATGACGATGCTAAACGATATTTGCTTTTTTTACTGATTCAATATGTTCACTTTATGTGGCGGCATCAGAATATTCAATCTACAAGAAGCAAATCTCAATTTTGCTAAATTCAGCGCCTAGCATTAAGCAAAGTTTCTAAATGCTAAATTGATAAATCGATTTTGCAAAATGCTTCTTGTAGACTGAATATTTTGATGCCGTTACATAAAGCCAACATATTGAATGCGAAAATGCTAGATGAAAAATGGAAAATACAGTCGACTCTCTCTATAACGGGATGAAAGGAACTAAAAAATTTTTCCATTATATAAAGCTTGGCGTCGGGACCAAAATTCCATTTCGTTATATAGAGCTTTCCGCTATATCTAGTCTTACTGTACTGTTTTTAGTTTGCTTTCTTTTTTGTGAAAGTATTCTAACAACATTTTATATGCCGCTATGATTGTCTGATTCGCTTCTATCCGCCCCTGAATAAAGCATTTATATAGAATTCTGTTATAGAGAAAGTCGACTGTAGTTTGGTGGATTGTCGAGCAAATTTCCGTTTTCTACCCACCCATGACTGGGTGATTATTGTTTTTTTGGGAAAATGCAAAATTTTGTGGGATATAACCGATATACCCAAAAATTCTCACCTTGTTGTCATCGAAGAAATCGTAGACTTTCTTGCCCAATTCGGCTAACTGAAAACGAAAATTTAAACCATTTAACGATTTGAAAGGAACTTTTTGTTTTGTTAGTCTTACGAATTTGAAGATATTCAGTCAAATCTCTAGACCTCTAGGGATTTGATTTCGAATCGAATCTTTGAAAAATCGAATTTAGCTCATTCTTTTAGTAAAACTGAATCCTGAGAAACTGAGACTTTGCTTCAACTTTTAACTATTTAAATTGAATTAAATTCACCAAATCTAGCTCTTTTTCCCAATCGAATTTATCATATTTAATTCGAAGGAAGGTCTAGTTTAAGATTTCAAAGTTCTAAACGATTTAAATGGGATTTAAAATGGTGATGGTAATGGGAGAATTCTTAAAACTAAACAAATTTCTACGAATTCAAAGCTTTCGAATATTTTTTGCTATTTGGACAAGCCTTATTCAACGCCGAGATCGAGTTAAGGAAACCATTAGCCGATTTGGTGAAGAAGAAAATGAATAAGAATAGAGGAATTGATAGATTCATGACGATGCTAGCTAAATGCTAAACGATCTTTGCTAAACGATGACGATGCTAAACGATGTTTTGATTTCTGAAGTTACATTAACGTAAAAACCAAGAGGAAATCAATATTCAACTAATCTAATCGCAATTGAAAATCTCAAGTTTCAAAGAAAATCGGTTCAAGATCTTCTTCGAAAAGTTAATGAATAAAAAACAAATTTTCAAAAAAAAAAACTATAAAAAAGGATGTTTTTCTATGAAGAAAATAGCAATTTAACTGAGCTTTTGTTTTCTTTAAAAGTAAAAATGTGCACACAAACTTTTGGAGGCAATTTTTATGCCTTACTGATAAGAAAGTTTTTTCGGAAGCGGAAAAAAAACGTTTTAATTTCCTGGAATGAAAAAGCTTATGAGAAATCAAAAAAATGATTATCAGCTTTAATTTTCGACATAAAATCAGATGTTTTTGAGCTAAATGGTTTTTGTAAAGTTTTTTGTAAAATTTTGTTAAAACTTTATCAAGTCTTGGATCATAAACATTTCTTGATGAAATTTTGTTTCAGATTTGAAAAGGTTAAGATAAAGTGAAAAGTTATAATTGTCATTTTTCCCCCACTTTTGAATGAGTAAGAAGTTTTGTTGAGAAATATTTTTCAAAGGCTTAGGTCGGTTGGCTTTGTTTTTACTTTACACTTTTTAGGTGAAAAATCAATGTGACTAGGAAACTATTCCAAATTGGAAACGAAAGACTTTGAAAGCTTAAGAGTTTAGAAGCTTAAGAGTTTAGAAGCTTAAGAGTTTAAAAGCGAAAGAGTTGAAAAGAGTTTATTTGACTCAACTTTTCTTTCAACTTTGATAATAACAAACAAAATCAAAAAGCAATAGTTCCTTAGCGCCCCAACGCTATAACTAATCCTCTAATGCTAGTTGGTCAGGATTTGTTTCATTTACTCAACAAAATCTCTCCGCTTTCAAGAAATCTTCTTTTAGACAAAGCTCCATAGAGAATTGCTTCAACTTAACGTCGACTTGGGATATGGGATCTAGCCCAAAAGCTAGATCTTGGTTACCCAAGTTTCTCTTTTTGAACTAACTTTTATGCAATTTAAAAGTATCCTTTGACGTTGTGTAAAACGTGAATTTGTCATGAATTTGTCCCATTTTCTTTCCTCTTTCGAATGGTGCATAGCATTCAATGTGTATTTTCAGAAATGCGAGCTTGACCTCATCGAGAAGCGATCGCTATGCTTTTGAAAGTCGCAGAGTCGAAGGGGGGCCATCACGGGAAAGCAATCGGCTACGACACATACAGGGTGGCCGACGACATTTGACGCAAGGTTTTTGACTTGTAGATCATGCCAAATTTATCAAAACCTATTGAACTCATAACCAAAAATGTAGAAAATTTTCTGTAGTTTCTGAAATTTAGAATTATTTTACCAGAGATCTTCTAGTTTTTGAGTTATGCCCTTTTTCGTACCCATCCAAAAAACGCCTCTGCGCCAAAAGTGATATTGAGGTTCACACGAGATTTGGATCATTTTAAACCCACAGAGAAATCATTGATAATAACTATTTAAATGCTGATTAGCTGCTGTCAGCCTGGGCGTGTAAAGATGCCAACAATGTTTTTTTATACAAGTGTTCTACAAAGACAAGCTATTTAAATGGATTAGAAATTATTGATTAGAAATGAAAACAGTTTAGATGTTCAATGCCATCGTATTTTTAATTGCAAGCTAATCTTTTGATGGCTTCTTGCAGACAAAGCGTGCTCTCGGTGCCCCAGGAGTCCAGCCCCATCCTCGGAGACTGCACGAGCCATCGTTTGCAATCTAGCGAACTTCAGAAACAGTTAGAAGGCTACAACTCACTTGTCCATTATAAAAGTCACCCAACATCCCATTCTGAACATAATCAGCAGGCGATCCATCAGTCCACATTCCAGCTCCAATTGTCGCATTCCCATAGTAGCCAATGTAGGCATAGGAATAGCCACATGTATAATTTCCAGGAGCCACATTGAAAAGCCCATGAACTTGTGATTTGACTAGCTCTGAAAGAAAAATTTTTGAGAAGAAAATGCGTTTAAATTTGACGATAGGCTTTCACGATAATTTGACGACATTTATGATTTCGGGTTTTATAAAAACAAGTGATTTACGGCTACGCTTACCCATCACAAAATCGTTTTCCGAATCCGAATGAATTGACACTAAATGAGCATCCATTTTTTGACACATCAACTCAGCCATTGTCACGTTGTACAATTCCCAATGAACACCGTCTGGATAGGTGAAATTCTAAAAAGAAATCCTAAAAAGAAATCCTAATGAAATGAGAATCCTTTCACTTACGTGTAAATAATAGCAGTATTCAGTCTGATTGTTGTAGACCCAACCATAGGGACATTTCAGCTCTGAAATTCATCTTGTAACATTTAGATTCGATTACAGTGGATTGGGTTGGCCACTAAGGAATGAGTCAGGTCAAAGAAAAGAAATTTTTTGGTAGTTGGCCCTTTACCACTAAAAGAGACAAGACTTTCCTTATTTCAAATCATTTCATCGATTGGGCATGCTTTTTTTATTTTTTTCAAACTACTTTTTGTGATTAGTGCAAATTTACCAAATGGACATATTCATCTTATGCTAATTGGGTTCACTAAATGTTCATTTTGAGCTAAATGCTCAAGTCTAACTCTATGCTACATAAAAAAAGTATATGGTATGATCATCACACTCTCTCTCTCCAAGACTACAGGATCTATAGTTTCACAAGTTTAAAACTGCGGATAAATCTTTGGATCGAAAACGACCGTCCCGAGAGATCTATCAGATATCAGATCCGAATTGAGTCATGGCAGGTTGGAATTAAATCAAATCAGATCCAAATTGAGTCATTTCAGATTCGTTTGACGTTGTTATTGGGAGTTAGTTAGTTAGTTATTGAATCCTGGGAGTGCTAGCAGTGATAGGATAGCAAGCAAACACTTAACTCTCAACTATACAGTGATCAATTGCAGAATCTGGCTAGAGTCCTTGAGATAAAAAGACTAAATGAAAAAAAGACAGATCGCAGCATGACAATGCTCGCCTACACACTGCTAAACGCTCTACAACCAAGAACCTGAACTCTGAACTTATCTCCAATCCAGCATATTCCCCAGATTCTTCATTCTGCAGTTTGTAGACTACTAGCAGCTAGCCTAGCTCCATGCCGAACAATTTTATTTCAGTCAATGAAAAATCTCTTAGTCCGAGAGCACTTTGAAGATAGAAAGATACCAAAACATGGGTACAAAGTTAGTTTGACTCAAAACCAAGACCGAACCGAACGCACATGTCGAGTAGATTTCTTATTGCAAACTCTTACGATCCATATTTATCGAGCAAATGTAAAATCGAGGCGTCAAGCAATCGGCGGCCATCCACTTAGAAGTTGATGTATCCATGACGGTGCAGTTGTTAGAGAGATTCAGATTCGGCTCTCCTGAAATGGAACGGATATTTTGTCTTGCATTTTTCGTCCATCCTTTTTTCATTGTTACTAGAAATTCCTCAAACCTGGTGCCCAATTCTGGTAAGTCAACGAGGATCCATCAGAATAGGTCCAAACTTGATTTGAGTTTCGCTCAACGCCAAGATACGTCGCTGAAATAATATTCTCTTAGTTGAAATTATTTCACTAACTTGAATTGAAAAATCCGTGAATCCACATATTCTCGAACATGTTCGTGATTTTGATCGGATCACCGCGCATCGAATGGCATTTTGTGAGAACATCGGTATAGGGAAGAGCTGAAAAGGAGATAATTGGACTTTTAACGTAGATAGTGTCAACTTCTAGAAGTTCTAAGCTTCAAATAGCAATGTAAAGAACTCAATTGGACAGCACAGTCATAGAATCAGAGCTGAAGTGAACGAGTGACTTGGTTTATGCGTAGATTCCCATATTTTCTCATGGCCATTGGAAGACAAATGATTAGGAGGGCGTGCCAGCCAGAGCTGTGAATTTTGAAAGCTCCTAGTAAACATGTCAGATCGGATCGGATCAGGACCGATCCGATAGGTCCGACCGATTGGGCTAACCTGATCCGATCCGGTCCGTGCCCTCCAACCGATCGGGCTAGTCTAATCCGATCCGATCCAATAGGTCCGACCGATTGGGCTAACCCGATCCGATCCGATTGGGTCCGATCCGGTCCGTTCCGTCCAACCGATCGGGCTAGCCCGATCCGATCCAAAGGTCCGACCGATCGCGCTAACCCGATCCGATTCGGTCTCATCCGTCCAACCGATCTGGCTAGCCCAATCCGATCCGATCCGATCTGATTTTGCCAAAAAACATGTCTAGCTCCTAGTGACCGAGCTGGCGAGTTGACTAACAAGGCCGATAATGTTAAAAAACGGACCGAAACGAGAAATTTTGAAGGAGTGGTCGTAGGCCCTTGACATGCTTGGCCGTATATTAGAGCTTTTACACTCACCCTGATTTCCAGAATAAACACAAAGATGATCATTCCAATCGGTTATCGTTCCATTCGGACAATCAATGGCTTTTCCAAAATAAAAGAGAGAAATAAAGAGGAGAATTCTCAAGAAAAACATTTCTTTCCTTATCTCCTTTACACTTCGTCTTTTAAATGATCAGTTCATGGTGATAAATCGTGATTTTAACTCGGAAATGATTGTTTGTGAGGTGTCCAGAGCCCTTATCAGAGAACCTAAACCGTACTTGAACTTGATCTTCTTTGAAGACAAAGAAGTGCAAATGCCCACGCGAATTTGAAAAGGCCAGTGATCTAATCTTTCTGAACAAAACTACAACTTCTGCTGGTTCAGTTGGCTTTACTTTTTTTTTCATTTTAAGCAAAATCAACAACAATGTTTTGTGGCAATAATATCAGTATTTGAAAATAGCCTTTCATAAAATAAAAATAGCATAAAATAGCTTCTTATATCATTAATTCAACAAAGTTCCTTTGAAGTACTATGAGATTTCTGAAAATAGACAAACATTTTACTTTTATCGATACAAAACGATAAAGCCTTCGCCTCTTGGTTTCTTTCTTTGCCATTGCGATGACAAATGTAAGTTTTCAGCTGTTTTCTCAACTCAATACAATCCGTCAAAAAAACTATAGACGCACGTTTTTTGCTAGTTTAGAGCCGGACAAAAGTGCTAGTCCAGTGTAAAGTGTTTTTTTAGTTTCTTTAATGTAAAAAACACAACCCATGCAAAATTTGAAGTCATTTCACTCATCCAAAGTACTTTATCGTACAAAAAACGTTTTATGTCAAAAAATTATAGACGGACTTTTATTTTATCAAGAAAAAGTTAACAGAAATAAAAATAACAACACAAACCAAATAAAGTAATAATGTGTGGTCCCTCCTTGCTTTAGTCCAACTTCAAAAAGACGTCTCGGCATCGAAGAGACAAGGTCATGGAGCGCTGTTAGCTAAAGCCGGTTCCAGGCTACTTGAATGGCTTTCTTGAGTTCAGTTAAGCACAAATATTGCTTGTTTCCTTTGTAGACATCTCAAACAACTGTCCCCCACACATTCTCAATCGGGTTGCAAGCGGGCCACGCGAGAGTGTCGATTTTCGATTTTTTCAGCCAATCTCTTGTGGAGCAACTTGCATGAGTACTCGCGTTACCGTGCATAAAAGTAAAGTTATTGCCCGGATTGTTGTTCAGATAGACGGCTAGATGTTTGTCCAACACTTGTAGTCAAGCGATGTCATCCGGGTCGAAATAAACTCTAAGTCGACCAGCTCACCGTCTCGAAAGGCTCCCCATACCATACATGATCCACCTCCAAAGTTCCTTGTGCTGAAGACCATGGGTTGTTTTTTACATTAAAGAAACTAAAAAAATACTTTTCACTGGACTAGCACATATATCCGGCTCTACACTAGCAAAAAACAGGGTGCGTCTATAATTTTTTGACAGATTGTAGCTACTCCAAAGTAATTCCAATGTCTATAGAAGTACAGCGGGAAATTTGATTTGCTTTTTTCAAATAAATAAAATCCTTAAAACAGATAAAGTTTTAAGGATTTTATAAAAACAGATAAAAAGATAAAGCCATTCTTTTTAAACTTTTAGCTTCCTTGCGAACCAATGTAGATTCTTTAAAAGCCTTTTGAGCAATATAATAGTTGACTTGAGCTCGGTAAAATCATTCAAATGTTTCAAAATGTACAAAGGGTAGCGATTGTGCAAGCGATCAATATTATTGTCCGCTCCAAAACCCCTCACAAAACGAATGTAAAAAGAAAGTTTTTGTCAGGACTTATTATCTGCTACTATTACTGCTACTATCTACTGCTACTATCTGCTACTGCCACTGCTACTGCGACCACCACAACGACGACCACAACGACGACGACCACCACCACAACGACGACCACAACAACAACAACAACTGTAAGTTCGTGAAGGATTCTCGAGGTACTAGCTTGATGCAAAAGAAATTTAGGTAGGTATAAAATTTTCTATTTTTTAATCAGCAATCTTATTTGATTTTCTTTTGTATATTTGTACTATTAGATATTTACTTTATTTTTACGCTTTTTCTAATTCAGAGCTTTCACCTTTTAATTAATAATTGCTTTAGATCATGGTGGATCAAAAGTATGTTGTGCGCGCGTGTCTTCTCTACGATTTCAAGATGAGGAAAAGCGCTGCCGAATCACATCGTGATTGCTGTTCCGCTTTTGGAGAACAAGTTATGACCGAAAGATCCTGCCAGCTCTAGTTTGTCCGATTCCGAGAAGGTATTGAATCACTTGAAAACGAACCACATGGGCATCGCTCGGCAGCAATCGATAATAATGAATTGGAACCAATTATTGAAGCCAATCCAATGCAAACAAGACGAGAGCTTGCCAAACATCTCCAATGTGATCAATCATCAATTGTCATTTGAAAATAATCGGAAAGACCCTGGAGATTTGGATGAACGACTACTTTCAATCACAGAATCAAGAGTTCTTCGATAAGGGGATCCGCAATCTGAACAACGTTGGAGGGATGTTATAGAATCATTGGAGGGATGGTATAGAATCATTGGAGGGATGTTATGGATCACCATGATGCTTATTTTTTTGGAATAAATTGTTATCTAAAAAAATTTTGAATAAATTTAATGTTTGTAAAAAACCGAAATTTCTTTCGCATCAACCTACCGTATTCTAATAGAAGCACATTTGCTTCTATTAGAATACGGTAGGTTGAATCTGGTAGGTGAGAAACGATTGAATAGGTTGAATACGGTAGGTGAAAGGTAGAATACGGTAGGTGAAAAATAGAAGCACATTTGCATCTATTATTCAACCCTCTTCATAAAATTACTTCTATTGGAGACTGCGCTTCAATTAAAATAAATCTGGTAGTATATATCAAGCAGAAGAGACGTTTGTCCGTCCGCCTGTCTGCACGCGGCCTTTGGTCAAAAAGGGGCGGAACCTAGATTGGGAAAAGATTCTGTAAAGTTGATAAAGGAAGAGTTTTTCTTGAAGTTAGCAACGAAAATTTTGACTGGAACTTGCTCAAATTGTAATAGTGATTGGGATCTTTTTTTTCTGAGAGCTTCATCCGCAAGTGCTTGTGTTTACTGAGCTGTTGTTTTTAATAGTTTCGGACACACTGGGGTGCCTACTTTAGCAATGAATAGCAGATGACAAGCAGATGTTGCCAAATTATCATCAGGAACATTAAGAAACCGGTTCTCTTAAGTTAAAGTGGTTCTTAAAGATCTATGATTAAAAATTAGCAAAAATCTAGAAACGATGAATTTTAAAATAGACGTTATTAAACTAAGGTGCTAGACTAGTTTTATACCCAAACTACTTACTATAGTACTCCAACTCCAACTTACTCCAACTTACTTGAACTATTGAAATAAATAGGCATGAAGTCAAGAGAAGAAGCACAAAGATTCTCATTGCTCGTTTTGTGATTTTGCTCGTTATTTGGAGACATTTTTAAGTTTTAAAGGAATCAAAATGGAATTAATGAAATCTAATCGAGAAAACTCTTTTAAAGCTGTGGATGTAATCAAATATTTTTCAATTTTAAAATCTCAACTACATGAAAAATCATTTAAAAATTTTGAGACTTTGTTTTAAGGCCGCATTTCCTTTTTCCTCTTTTCTTGGCTTACTTGGAATCTTTTTCATGCGTCCCTTTATTCAAACGACATTAAGCCGTTAAATGCACAACACAAACATCGCCACATCCAGCTGCACATGGCCGACTCCACGTCTTCACCTCAGAAATCATCCAATCACCAGATGCTCCATAGAGATGAGTGCACGTTTTGTGGTATGCTCCTTTTCGAAAAACAGTCACAATGTCGACACGTCCTTCCCATTTATCCCATAAGTCGCTGCACGCTCTGCTAGCGATTGGATCTCGTCATGTCGTTCTGGCCATTCAAAAGGGTCTTGAAAGCAACGACTAAAATAAAGTATTGTCTTAATTCTTACTCTGACTAGTGATCACCAGCTCAGGTTTTAAAGCAAAGAAATGTAAAGAAGTTTGGTACTTTGATGGTTCTAGGCGCTATTCAGGTTAGGAAGGGGGCACTTTTTGTTTTCAAAACCACTTTTTTTCGGGTAGCTTTATGCGTAGATTCCGAAAAGCACAATGAGAGCTTGGGAAAATGAGTTTAAGTTCAGTTTTGGGGCTTCAAAGTACATAACTTAACCTACTGATTTCTGCTCAAATCGAAGCGAAATAAAAATTTTTCTTTTCAAGTTTTGACCATTGGGTTTCAAGTTTTGACCATTTTGTGGCATCCCCTTGTTAGGTCTTTTTTCAAAAATAAATTGAAACTTTGCTCACCGTTGGGAGTCGAAGCTTTGACCCTCGGATCACCGAATCGCCAAGCCTCAGCTAAAATTTAATGATCCTGAAATGTGATTTTGAGACTTTTTTGGGTACCAGGCTGACTTGGCACCAATTAAAAGCTTATAAAACTTTGGAAACGAAACGAATCAACAAATGGTCTTCGCTATTGTGTTCCCCTTGAATACAGCTTTTGAATAAGACAAAATATTGGTTAAGTTTGAGATCATCTCCAAGCAAATCCATCATTACTTATTGGCCAGCCTAATAAATACTCGTTTGACCTGATTCCATCTTTTGCATCCGGCTTTGATCTGTCCGGAAAGCCACCACGAAACACAAATATCACATAGTTCTCAAATTTCAGCATAGAGTTATACCATCCAACGCCAACGAAACCCGTTTTCATGTAGTAGTTGTCCTCTGCCAAATTCTCTCTTTCCCGATAAGCCTTCACATAGTCTGCCGGTAGAACGGCGACTTGCTTTCTGATTCTGAAAAGCACAGAAAACATTGTAAATCCAAGTGTTCTTCCTTACTGTGTTCCTCTTGAATACAGCTTTTGAATAAGATCAAAGATTGGCTAAGGTTGGGACCAGCTGCCAGCAAATGCACCATTACTTATTAGCCAGCCTAAAAAATCCTCTTCTGACCTGATTCCTTCTTTCGCATCAAGCTTTGATCTGTTCGGAAGGCCACCACGAAACACAAATATCACATAATTCGCAAATTCCAGCACAGAGGTATCGTCTCCAGAGCCAACGAAAGCCGTTCTCAGGTAGTCGTTGTCCTCTGACCGGGCTTGTGATTCCCGCCAAGCCTTCACCTAGTCCGCCGGTAGAACGGCGACTTGCTTCCTGATTCTGAAAATCACAGAAAAAATTGCGAGTCAAAGTTTTATTCAGAAACTTTTCGCGGTTCCTTTCCGTTATACATCCACAAAAATAACCCCTGATCATCAATCAATAAAGAATCCAGGCCGTAGCAATTTGTTGCAACACCCATCCGTTTTCATGTAGTAGTTGTCCTCTGCCAAATTCTCTCTTTCCCGATAAGCCTTCACATAGTCTGCCGGTAGAACGGCGACTTGCTTTCTGATTCTGAAAAGCACAGAAAACATTGTAAATCCAAGTTTTTTTCAGAAATTTTTCACGGTTTTTCTCCGTTATTCATCCACAAAAATAACCCCTGATCATTTAATGATCTAAAATCGATTAATTTATTCAAAATCTACTATATATAAAAGCGAAGTGTCCGTCACACTCTGGATGTCGACTCTCGGTGAACGGATTTCGACAAACGCCTCGGCGGTCTATGGGAGGGAGGGCGTGGCCGAGGTGGTTAGTGCCTCGTCTACAAAACGACTGCCCTAAGGGGGTGTCGGGTTCGATTCCCGTCCGTTCAAAACCTTTTCCTTTAAAACTTTTCAAACATGGAGTTGAAGTATGCAAATTTGAGTTGCCTCGCAGCGAACGTATTGTTACAGGGGTCTGGGGGTGGCAAAATCAGCCTACCAAATAAGTAGGTGAGGGCGGAATACATGAATCAAAAATTTTGAATCTTTTCAAAACTATGTTAATTGATAGAGCTTGGCTCAAAACGTACAAAAAACGTGTGTTCAGATCAAAGTTTTTTATTTCTCAAAATTCTATTGATGATTCTTCCAAAAAAACCCATGTGATTCCCCCTTATAGGTCTTTTTCTAAAAATTATTTTTGAATTTTTTGCTTATAAAAATATAAAAATTAATATAAAAATGCTTTAAATGCTTATAAAAATTTGAAAACGGAACGAATCAACAAATGGTCTTCGCTACTGGGTGTTTTTTGAATATAGCTTTCCAATAAGACCAAAGATTGATTAAGTTTGAGGCTAGCTACCGGTAAATCCACCATTACTTATTAGCTAGCCCAATAAATCCTCGTCTGACCTGATTCCTTCTTTTGCATCCGGCTTTGATCTCTCCGGAAAGCCCCCACGAAACACAAATATCACATAATTCTCAAACTTCAGCACAGAGTTATCGTCTCCAAAGCCAACGAAAGCCGTTCTCATGTAGTAGTTGTCCTCTGAGGAAGCCTGTTTTTCCCTATAAGCATTCACATAGTCTGCCGGTAGAACGGCGACTTGCTTTCTAATTCTGAAAATCACAGAAAACATTGCAAGTGAAAATTTTTTCTAGAAACTCAGCGGTTTTTTTCCGTTATACATCCGCAAAAATAACCCCTGATCATCAATCAATGAGGAATCCATGCCGTAGCAATTTGTTGCAACACCCATACGTAGAAATCGTCCTTTCCCACTCCTTGCCGGACCATGAATTCAGCGAGGTAGTTCGATAGGAAATGACGTGCCGCAATGGTTCTTGTTTCTCCATTTTCCCCATAGACGCTGGATCGTCTGCGTGTGAGTGGCAGGGTCATCCGGATTCCGGAAGTTGTACTTGCTATACTCATTGACATGAGCGTGGGTAAAGCCTGCCTCCACCGTTCATTAAATGATTGAGGGTTTATTTTTGAGGATGTATAACGGAAAAGAACACTTTTCGCTTTGATCGTGAGCTAAAACATACATATCGGTGTTAACCAAAAGTTTATAGATTTTCGAAGCCATTCCCTGCATTTTCTCTTGTTGGTCATACTGGGTGCCGCCCAATGTCCAATACATTTGATCCGCTTTACCTCTGTGATACTCGGCCATCCAATTTCGAATCTTTTCCTCTTTTTCGGGCTTCTGGATCCGATCTGCCTAAAAGCTTGCTGTCTCGAGAAAATTTTCAAATGCTTGGCTACCTTTAATACCTTTAACTAAACTTATTTGCAAAGCAACTTGCCCGTGGACCCGTGAAACATCCGACAGAGACAACGATTTCACCTTTGTACAACCATTTACGCATCGATCCACAACTGATAGTTTTTGTCTCTGACGGTGAATCCATCATGTGGTTTATCTGAAACATAGTTTTGAGGATAAACTGAAAAAGAAACTCCCACTCGAACAAACGAAAAATTGTCTGGATCAGCGATGCACGTGAGCCTTCGATAGACCCCATAATGCTGACTGTAATTGATGAAGATAAAATGAGAAGGGTTTTCTCTAGCGACCAAAAATCCCTAAGGGAAGGCCCGGATTATGGCCCGGAGCAAGCCTTAATCGGGCCCAAGCTCATTAAGGCTTTGACGCTGCCGGGCCCGGAAAATCTTTCACGAAACAACTCTTACTGAGACGTCACATCACTCGAAAAGTTTTTCCAGTTGCCATCAGCCGAATGAATGACAATTTTTTCACTCTGGCTGTGGCACCCTTCCATCCATTCTAAAAAAACAGTTAGTAGACGAGTCGGGTAACAAAAAAAAGAACAAAGTAATCGAAACAAACCGACCTTCATTTGCTGTCACAAGTTGTGCCAGTGAAGCCACAAACAAAAAAACGAATTCTTTCTTCATTTACAGCCAACTGAAAAGTAAATTTTTGAAAATGTGAATTGTAAAAAGAGAAAGTTTGATATAAAAACGAGAAGTTGTTCAAATAAGCAGCAAAAAATTTATGGGGAAAATAAAGTTTGAAAGTTGAAAGTTGAAATTTGGAATTTAAAGGTCTATGTGGTGTCTGGAAAATGATTCAATTCAAAAAGAATTTTTTTAATAGAAGCCTACATTTATTTTCCCCTTTAATAAATCGCTCAAAAGAAATTAATGGAAAAAAGAGAAGACACATTTCAGCGCTTTTACGATAAACTGCAGTATCTGAGTAGCCATATTTTCATACGAATCATACGTTTTTTCTTTTTTGCCTAATAATGTTTGGCTCGAAATAAGTTAATGGAAAAACGAGAAGACAAATTCCAGCTCTTTTACGACCAAAAGCAGTATCTCTGTCGCCATATTTTTGTTTTTATATATGAATACTTTATTCAGAAATCAAGGGCCGCAATGAAGATTTACAATAACTCATGCAAAATAGAAGATGGAATCAGAAGCACTCCATTTGCCTCAATGTTTGGTAAAGACTACGATGATGAACGGGAAATAAGGCAAGTTTTTAATTATCGTATTTTCTCTAATAGTAGTGCACCCCAGCGAGCCGAGTTGTTGATGACAGTGCGTAACAAAATGATAGTTCCACCATGTTTTTCGCCCCAGGAACTAGACATTTTGAATAAAAATTCAAGTTTTGACCAAAAGCAAGTTCAAAATTTAGTTTTAAATCAATTTGCATCAAACTGTTATTTCATCGCGAAGACATTGCGCTTATAGAAATGTTTCTATGCTTTTCGTCATTTTTCCCGCGTAACAAAATGATAGATCCACCTTGATTTAACAACGTTTTCGTTTATCAATTGATGTTGTTCAGTTTTCTTTTTGTACTATCCGTAACTCAAGGGCTTTTTTAGATTATGGGTAGAAAAGGACGTTTGTCGAAAAAGCCAAAGTTGAAGCATTCCACGCCTCTGGACGGAGCAATCGCAAAAACGCAACAAAATTGGGCCGTTCTCATAAAGTGATCAACAATTTCCTGAAGAATCCGACTTCTTATGGAAAAAAGGCATCTACCGGACGTAAAGGAAAACTAATGAAACGCGGGAAACTGGCCATCATCAAAACAGCCACAAATTATATTAAAGGATCTCGAAGAATTTCGAAATGAGTTGGGCTTAAATGTCTCGCATATGACTGTTTATCGTGTCATCGAAAACTCACCTCATTTAAAGCGAGACAAAATGATGCCAACCCCTACTTTAAAGCCGAATCACATTGCTGCGAGGGCAAAATTTGCGGATGATCATCACACTTGGACGAATGAATGGAAAGAGGTAATTTCTAAAATTTATATTCTTTTACAAGCAAATTTAGGTTGTTTGGTCCGATGAAAAGAAACTCAATTTGGACGTTCCCGACGGCCTTTCGTACTATTGGCATGATCACCGCACATCGCCTCAGTATTTTACAAAAAGAAACTTGGGTGGAGGTTCCGTCATGATTTGGGGTGCATTTTCTTCTTATGGAAAGCTTGAGATCGAATTCATCCATTCAAAAATGAATTCTCAGGATTATCAAAAAGTGCTAGAGAATAAGCTTTTACCGTACCTACGTGTTTTTCCCAAATAATTCGATGGTTTTCATGCATGATAATGCACCAGTTCATGCAGCTGCAGGCACTAAACGATGGCTCAAGCGAAACAAAATCGAAACATTGGACTGGCCATCTTGTTCGCCCGATTCAATCCCATTGAAAATCTTTGGGGAATGCTGGTTCGTGATGTTTACGATAATGGAAAGCACTATTCGACAGTCACCCGGTTGAAAAAAGCAGTAGTGAGCGCATGGAACCGAATCGGAAGAGTTCAGATTGATGCGCTCGTCGAATCAATGCCAAAGCGAATGAATATGCTTATCAAAAATGGCTGAAAACCTATTAAATATTAACGTTATCTTTTGTTGCAGGTTTTTGTTGGAGTTTATTAGTTAAAATTATAAAATAAAGCTGTTAAATCAAGATGGATCTATCATTTTGTTACGCGGGAGAAAGTATTGGGTTGGGGAGAATGAGTCGGCGCCAAACTTTAAAGGGACTTTTTGCACACATAAAGCCTTCTTTAAACATACGTTTGGTTTCATCAAAAGGATCCACTATTTCTCTACAAAATGACTTTTGAGAGATTCCACAAAGCTTTTCTTTCGTGGAGTTTATGAACTTCCAAACGCAGCTGGTTAAAATGGCAAAGAGTCCGACTCATCATTTGAACATTTTCTTTCACATAAACCTTCTTTGGTGTTTATATAAAAAAGATAGAGCACATTCAATTACTTAAGTTGCCAAATTTGCAGGAAGATCCCACCAATGGTTTTTTCCAGATCACAGTTTGTAGTTTTTGTGAAAAAATGGCTTTTTCTTGAGCGGAGGCGCTGTTTGAATTTTCTTTTAAATGTGATTTTGTAGAGAATTAGTTAACCATTCTACTCATATCAAACGCATATTATTTGACGAAATCGAATAGAAGTTTTAGACATTTTTTTGATTTTCGGCGCCGACTCATTCTCCCCAACCCAATAGTTTTTTATTTGATTTCGATCCTTCTGGGTTGTATTTTATTACCATTTGCACATTTTAGTAAGATGAAACTTATTTAGGTTGGAAACCTAAAAATAAGTACTTCATTCAAAAATATGATCAAACACCTAGATTTTGATCTAAGCTTTTGAATTAAGCAGTTACCTAAGTGGGCTAACACAAGGCTTTGCGGTTCTAACCGGATAAAGGTCCCTTCCAAATTATTAGGTTGGAAACAAAGTTCCCGGAAAAAGTTTGCACGGTGATTTCTCAAAAACTAAGCCATTAATTCTTCCTAGATTTTTTCATAAACTTGACTATATTTCAAAAAGCTTTTGACAAAAAAATCAGAGTTGGCTTCAGGTAAAAAATAAGAGATTTCTTCAGCTGAAGTGACTCAATTTTAACAAAATAAATAGAGACTAAAATTTTGCATACTCGTAAAATTGGTATTGATATTTTAATCTTACTGATCAATGCAATGATCGTCTTGATCGATTTTATTGATATTGATCAATATTATTGATATTGATACCAATGTAATGATTACCGTATTATAAGTCTATTATGATATAAACTTGAAATTTTGCGTCTGTTTGAAAATCAAATCAATCAATCAAACGAGTGCCTTGTTTCTCTTATATATGTCGTAGCCGCTAACGAGTGAAATTTTTTGCTAGCCGCTAACGAATCGTTCGTTAACGGCTAGCCGTTAACGAATAAAAATTCTTTTTTTTTGTCCCCTTTCTCTTTCTACCGTAATCTTTCTTACTCTAATAAACTCTTTAACACGAGCCAGTGCATCCCAATGTGCAAGCCATTGGCAACATATATGTCGTAGTCGATTTTGAATGAAATTTTTTTGGCAAACCTTTCTAGTAGAACAACCCTTTAATGTATAAGCAAAATCTTATCTCATTTTTAGGGGATTAAATTCTGCGTCGATTGGTACTAAATCTGTTTAGGTTCAAAATTGCGGGCACTACAGCGTTTCATTCAAAATCGACAGAAGCCCGAGTTTGAAATTCAGCCGATTTTCAATGAGTGGGTCCAGGCGCGTTCAACCATCAAGTGTTTGTTATCATTCGACGCAAAAGCATTGATAATTATGCTAAATTTTAAAAATTAGAAAGATTAGATATCAAAGAAAAAAATTTAGAGCGAAAAACTGTTTGTTCGAGAGAGAAATTTGAAGCTCCATAAAGATTGAGGCTCACAATTTTGAATACGGTACATTTTCAAAGAGGGAAGAGCCATCTTTTGCCATTTCCAGAAGCCATCTTTAGCTTCTTACTTCTTTATAGACACTTTAAAAGACTTAAAGATTGTTTTTAGTGCTTTAACAGAGAAGTAAAAAGATTTTGACAGTGAGGGGATTTGAACATGGAAGGAAAAGCGGGAAAGGAAAAAAAGTACACTATTTGATACACCATTCGAAGACTTTTCGGAGGATAAGTAATTCGGTGTCGTACTGCGGTGGCGTCGTTTTTCCAAAAAAAGTGCTCAAACTTCAGCAGTATTTTCTCGAAAACTGAATGCTATGGAGTAAAACTGAAA